TTCCCCCTTTAAAAAAAGGCCCCCCCCCCCCCTTCCCCCCCCCCCCACCCAACCAACCCACCAACCAACCCAACCCACTTCCCCCCCTTCCTTCTTTGCACATGCCTCCTTCCTTCCACCTTTCCACATCTGCCCTCTGGCCCCTCACCCCGCCGCCCCCTCCTTGCAGTTCGACGAGGAGCACCGGCCTCGCCAACACGTTCGAGGCCACCGAGGAGGAGCTGGAGACTGCTAGTTACTTCCTAGTTTATTAGTGACCATTCATTACCAATAGGCGACCGAGGAGGAGCTGGAGACTGCTAGTTACTTCCTAGTTTATTAGTGACCATTCATTACCAATAGGCCACCGAGGAGGAGCTCGAGACTGCTAGTTACTTCCTAGTCAATTAGTTACCATTCTTCATTACCAATAGGCCACCGAGGAGGAGCTGGAGACTGCTAGTTACTTCCTAGTTTATTAGTGACCATTCATTACCAATAGGCCACCGAGGAGGAGCTGGAGACTGCTAGTTACTTCCTAGTCAATTAGCTACCATTCATTACCAATAGGCCACCGAGGAGGAGCTCGAGATCGAGCTCAACGAGGCGGAGCCCCTCTTCCTCCGCGGCCAGACCAAGGCCTCCGTCGCCATGTCCCCGATCAAGATCGTCCGCAACCCCGACGGCTCGCTGCAGCGCGCCGCGATGACGCAGTCGGCTCTGGCCAAGGAGCGGCGCGAGCTGCGCGACTCGCTCATTACTCTGTAATTAATCTGTTGATTACTCGTTTCATTAGGAGCGGCGCGAGCTGCGCGACTCGCAGCAGCGAGCGCTGATGGACGCAATCCCCAAGGCCGCCACCCCCTAGAAGCGGGGGACGTACGCTTGCCTCGCAGCGGGAGCTCCCCACTGTATTCCGCCGCCTCCAGACGCCGTCACGGCCGTCTTCACACTGTCCTCGCACTCCTCCGTACTCACGCGGTGCTCTGAAGACTTAGCGCAAGCCCCGCCGGCCGGCGTAGCTCCTAGCACCTCGACCGGCCCGAGATCGCCCGAGATGACGCGAGATGACGCGAGATTGCACGAGATCGCGTAGGACCTCAACCGGCCGTGGGAGGACCCGATGCCGGAGCCGGGAGAGCGGCACATCGCGCAGGAGCTGCGCGGCCTCGGCTACACGCAGGAGGCGGTGCCGGAGTGGAAGGTCAAGTCGAAGGGGCAGGGCTACCGGCGCGGCGTCTTTCTTTTTTAGCGCGCCGTCGTTCTTTTCTAGGTCAAGTCGATGGGCAAGGGCTTCTCGATCGGTTTCCCGACCAAGAACAAGTCGATCCAGGAGCAGCGCGCCTCGCTGCCGATCGCGGCGCTCAAGCAGGAGCGGGCTGATTCGACATACGAATGAGTGCATAACTGCTGGTTCACTGCGAATAGGCGCTGAAGCAGGAGCTGGTGAACGCCGTCGCGGAGAACCAGGTCCTCGTCGTGATTGGCGAGACGGGCTCTAATTAACAGAGTCGTTGAGGAATGAATATGTTAATTCACCAGGTCCTCGTCGTGATTGGCGAGACGGGCTCTAATTAACAGAGTCGTTGAGGAATGAAATATGTTGATGAACCAGGTCCTCGTCGTGATTGGCGAGACGGGCTCTAATTAACAGAGTCGTTGAGGAATGAATCTGTTGATGAACCAGGTCCTCGTCGTGATTGGCGAGACGGGCTCTAATTAACAGAGTCGTTGAGGAATGAATCTGTTGATTCACCAGGTCCTCGTCGTGATTGGCGAGACGGGCTCTAATTAACAGAGTCGTTGAGGAATGAATATGTTGATGAACCAGGTCCTCGTCGTGATTGGCGAGACGGGCTCCGGCAAGACGACGCAGATGACGCAGTTCATGGCCGAGGCAGTCGCTGCCACACCGCCCACGGAGCCTGAGCCCCCCCACCCACACTGGGGTCGACCACTCTGGGAGGCGTGGCGCTAGGCGGGCTTCACGTCGCGCGGCATCATCGGCTGCACGCAGCCGCGCCGCGTCGCCGCGATGTCGGTCGCCAAGCGAGTGGCCGAGGAGTTTGGCTGCCGGCTGGGCCAGGAGGTTGGCTATTCGATCCGGTTCGAGGACTGCACGTCGCCCGAGACGATCCTCAAGTACATGACTGACGGGATGCTGCTGCGCGAGTGCCTCGTCGACACCAACCTGTCGCGCTACTCGCTCATCATGCTGGACGAGGCGCTACTCAACAGATGAATTAACTGCTAGCTAGTTAATCAGGGTGTTAACTAGCTCATCATGCTGGACGATTGATTAACTAATCACAAGTAGTTCACTCGCCCATCATGCTCGACCAGGCGCACGAGCGCACGATTCACACTGACGTCCTCTTCGGCCTGCTCAAGGGCCTGCTCGCCCGCCGCAAGGACCTCAAGCTCATCTGCACTTCGGCGGCCCTCGACGCGGAGGCGTGCTCGTTCCTAGACTGTTCCTAGACCGCTCCTGGAGCCTCCCTGTAGGCGACCCTCGACGCGGAGAAGTACTCGTCCTACTTCTTCGAGTGCCCGATCTTCACCATCCCCGGCCGCACCTCCCCGGTCGCGGTGCTCGTTTCTAGACTGCTCCTGGACCGTTCCTGGAACCTTCCTGTAGGCCGCACCTTCCCGGTCGAGGTCCTCTACACAAAGGCGCCATCTGTCCCTCGTCCCTCCCTCGTCCCTCCCTCGTACCTCCCTCGTACCTCCCTCGTACCTCCCTCGTACCTCCCTCGTACCTCCCTCGTACCTCCCTCGTACCTCCCTCGTACCTCCCTCGTACCTCCCTCGTACCTCCCTCGTACCTCCCTCGTACCTCCCTCGTACCTCCCTCATATCTCCCTCGTACCTCCCTCATATCTCCCTCGTACCTCCCTCATATCTCCCTCGTACCTCCCTCGTACCTCCCTCGTACCTCCCTCGTACCTCCCTCGTACCTCCCTCGTACCTCCCTCATATCTCCCTCGTACCTCCCTCGTACCTCCCTCGTACCTCCCTCGTACCTCCCTCGTACCTCCCTCGTACCTCCCTCGTACCTCCCTCGTACCTCCCTCATATCTCCCTCATATCTCCTCGCGCGAGCCGGCAGAGCCCTCCCTCGACCCTTGTGCACACCTGCATACCTGCATGCAGGCGCCCGAGGCGGACTACATGGACGCGGCCTTTCCTAGACTCTTCCTAGACCGTTCCTGGAACCTTCCTGCAGGCGCCCGAGGCGGACTACATGGACGCGGCCCTCATCACGGTGATGCAGATCCACCTGCAGGAGCCGCCCGGCGACGTCCTCCTCTTCCTCACGGGGCAGGAGGAGATCGACACCGCCTGCCAGATCCTCTTTGAGCGGATGAAGTCGCTCGGCCCGTCGCTGCCGGAGCTCATCATCCTGCCCGTCTACTCTGCGCTCCCGTCCGAGCAGCAGACGCGAGATGGAGCCGAGATAGAGCCGAGATAGAGCCGAGATCGAGCCGAGATAGAGCCGAGATAGAGCCGAGATAGAGCCGAGATAGAGCCGAGATAGAGCCGAGATCGAGCCGAGATCGAGCCGAGATAGAGCCCAGGCATAGCCCAGATATGCCCATCATCCTTGCTGCCTGATGTCTCTATTTCTACGCGCGGCGGCACCCCCCCCCCCCCCAAAGAAGAACTACAACGCGGCATGCGTCTGCTCCTAGGCGCATCTTCGAGGCCGCGCCGCCCGGCTCGCGCAAGGTGGTCATCGCGACAAACATCGCCGAGGCATCCCTCACGATCGACGGCATCTTCTACGTCGTCGACCCCGGTGAGCCCACCCTCCCCTACCCCACGGTACCCGAACCCACCTTCCCCTACCCCACGGTGCCCGAACCCGCCCTCTAGGCTTCGTCAAGCAGAAGGTGTACAACGCAAAGGTCGGCATGGACTCGCTGGTGGTGGTGCCGATCTCGCAGGCGTCGGCGCGGCAGCGGTCGGGGCGCGCCGGCCGCACCCACGCATTCATGTCTCCCAACCAGCACTCGAGAGGGCACGTACTCCGCTGCATTCCGCTGCATTCCGCTGTATTTCGCTGTATTCACTGTCCTCCTCTTCGTTGTCTTCACCCCTTCCTCTCAACACGCTGCACAATACCGTCTGTAGGCGCGCTGGCCGCACCGGCCCGGGCAAGTGCTACCGCCTGTACACCGAGCAGGCGACCTCCCCATATCTCCCCGTATCTCCCCGTATCTCCCCATATCTCCCTCGGGATGCTCATCCGCCTCTACACCGAGCAGGCGTTCCCCTACTCCAATGGTACCCGAACCCACCCTACCCTACCCCCACGGTACCCGAACCCACGGGGAAGTAGCCGGTTACACCAATCATACGTCCTCGCTGCCGAGCAGGCGTACAAGAACGAGATGCTGCCCACCAACGTGCCGGAGATCCAGCGCACGAACCTGGGCAACACCGTGCTGCAGATGAAGGCGATGGGCGTCAACGACCTGCTCCACTTCGACTTTATGGACGCGCCGCCCGTGCAGACGCTCGTCGCGGCGATGGAGGCGCTGTACGCGCTCTCTGCCCTCGACGAGGAGGGGCTGCTCACGCGCCTCGGCCGCCGCATGGCCGAGTTCCCGCTCGAGCCTCCGATGTCCAAGATCTTGATCGCCTCGGTCGAGCTGGGCTGCTCCGACGAGGTGCTCACGGTGGTTGCGATGCTCTCCGTCCAAAACATCTGGTACCGCCCGAAGGAGAAGCAGGCGCAGGCGGACCAGAAGCGCTCCAAGTTCTTCCAGGCGGAGGGCTGGTTAGGTAGCTCGTTCACGCACTCGTTGATTGACTGAGGGGTGGCGCTCTTCCAGGCGGAGGGCGACCACATCACGCTGCTCGCCGTCTACCAAGGCTGGGCGGCGGCCAAGTTCTCAAACCCGTGGTGCTTCGAGAACTTCATCCAGGCGCGAAACATGCGCAAGGCGCAGGACGTGCGCAAGCAGCTGCTCACCATCATGGACCGGTACAAGCTGGAGATCGAGACGTGCGGCCGCAACTTCACAAAGGTGCGCAAGGCGATCACGTCGGGCTACTTCACGCACGCGGCCAAGAAGGACCCGCAGGAGGGCTACAAGACGATGGACGAGGGCCAGGTCGTGTACATCCACCCCTCCTCCGCGCTCTTCAACCGCAACCCCGAGTGGTGCGTCTGCCGCGGCCCTCCCCTCCTCCAAGAATGAGTTCATTCCTCCATTCGTGTCTCATTTAGGTGCCTCTACCACGATCCTGCCCTCATTGAACGAATCCCTCACTCACTTGGCTGACTGCTTGCTTAGGTGCATCTACCATGAGCTCGTCCTAACCTCCAAGGAGTACATGCGCGAGTGCATGGCCATCGAGCCAAAGTGGCTCACCGAGCTCGCGCCGCGCTACTACCAGCAGGCCGACCCGCGCCACCTCTCCAAGCGGAAGCGCAACGAGCGCATCGAGCCGCTGTACGACCGCTTCAACGACCCCAACGCGTGGCGCCTCTCCAAGCGGCGCGGCTGAAGTCGTCCGCGCGCGCGGCGCTGCGCCGCGCCGGATCGCCCTCGCCGTGGTCGCCGCGGCGGGGAGGCCTCGCGGGTCACGGTGCATGGAGGCGCGCTCGGCGGCGGCGCGCCGGCGGCGGCGCGGAGCGGTCTGCTGTCTGCCCCGGCGGGGCGCGGGCGCGAGGTGGAGAGGAGGGGCGGGGGCCCAAAACACGATGTCGACTGTCGCCAGAGAAGCCGCTGTGGTGGAGTGTACTATACTTGCGCTCACCTCTTTCTACGTAGAACAAGAGCCTTGACACAGACCCCACAAAACACAATGCCTAAAAAGCCAACCTAGTGTCGCGCCGTCTCTGGAGAGGCCGGTGTCTTAGCACACACAGTGAGTCATTCGGAGTCATTCGATGGCCAGAGTGCGATTGTGTGTGTGCGGGAGTTGGTTTGTCGGGAGGGAGGGGCAGGCTGCTCACCCACGTGCACCGGGCCAGTGCTTGCACTTTGAATGCCGTGGGGCTCCTCTGCCCGTGTCCGGGCGTGGAGATGCGAGGGTCGCCCCCCCTTGCCCCACCACTTTGTGTGTGTGGAGAAATCTACCTTACCTTACCTTACCTTAGGCCGGTGAGGACGCCGACCCGCGCCGCACCCGACGGCGCGGCCGAGCTGCAGGGTGCGGCACAACCACAAGCTCCGCCGCCTTTACAAAGCCACGGTCGCGCCAGGCGGCCTCGCCAACCCGTTGAGGCTGCTGGAGCGCGCGGCACACAGGCGCCGCTGCGCCTCGGCCCTCAAAATCGGGCAGGGTGGCGTTGGCACGCCTTCGAAACCGGCACCGGGGTTTCGCCGGTGGGCCGCCGCTGAAGACGCCGACCGAGGACGCTCTAAATGCGCTGACGCGCGCGGCGAATGCCGCGCCCAGTGCCTCCAGGCGGCGCGCAAAGAGCGTGCGCACGTGATCGTAGAGCCAGATGTCTAGCGGGGCCACCCTGCGCACGACCTCCTCGCAGGCCGCCCGCAGCTCGGGAGCGCAGCCCTTGCTCCGTTTGAAGCAGCGACGGACCTCCGCCGAGAAGGCGGTGCATGCTGCCGCTTCGTCGAGCTGGACTCGCTGCGGCCGCGCGCCCAACTTCAAGCACTCCGGGTCGATCCGAGCGTGCTGAAGGTAGCGCAGCCCGAGTGCATCGGCCGTCATCAGAAGCGCCTCATCGAAGCGTTCTAGCGGCGCCGCAAGGTCAAAATGCTCGACCAACTGGCGCATCTGCTCCCTGGACGCGTCGGAGTCCCCATCTTGGACGTGCGCATGCAGGTAGCTGGGTGCCGAGGCTGGCCGACTCTCTAGACGAACCTCGGCAAAGTCCGCGTAACCCGGGTGGAGCAGGATGTTCGCTTGCAGATTGGGCGTTGAATTTGCCCAGCGCAGGAAACCTTCGTCGCCCAACCCAGAGGGACGATGCCTGGAGGCACGCGTCGCAGCGCGGCTCCAAAGATAGAAGGACACGTAGTGCGACAACGGCTCGCGCACTCGCAGGGTGGTGAACAGGTGGCAGGCAAGGCCATGCTCAGCCGTCTTGCGCTGCCACGCCTTGAGAGACTCGAGGGTAGTGGTGCCCGCAAGATCGCCACCAACATGACCGTCGATGCAGAGCCGTGGCAGCCGTGGCGAATTGCGGCTCAATCCACGCAGCGCGGTGAGCCCTCTTTGCAACGACGAGAGGTGGTAGCCCCAGTAGAGGCACTCGCCTTGCTCCTCGAGGCGTTGCATGAGCACCGACATGGTGCTGCCGCCATTCTTGTGCACGTGCCGATCAAATAGGACGAAGCATTCCCGTGGCGTCGCGTTGGCGTTTGCGGGCGGGCTCTCGCGCAAAGCGGGACAGCCCGGGGCTTGGCCAGCGACGCGCATGCGCGAATCGGGAGCAAGCCTGGACTCGACAAAACGCGAGAAGTTTCGAATTGCCGGGGTACTGCCCCCGGCGCTGTTGCAGGCGCCATCACCCCCACCGCCCCCCTAAAGAAAGAAAGAAAGAAAACAGACAACCCAAGGGAGGGATGGGAGGACGGCACGCCGCCACCACACAGGGATTTTAAGGAGAGGTGTGTGGTTTTATCTTATTTGTCGCCCGACGCGTTTCTTTAACTTATTGTTGACTCACGGCGAATTGACGCGGACGACGGGCGCCCGGCACTCGACTGAGCCTGCGAGATGCTCGACTGCTACGCCGCAAACGGCCAGCGGATCCTTGCGACTGTCCCAGCGAGGCCTTGGGTGACGGAACTCCTCTTCCTCGGCACACACACACCCGTCGACACGACGGCTTCACGCCTGACGGCCTGGCGAAATTCGGCCATGCCGCCCCACGCCGAGCTGTGGCAACTCCTGCTGCATGAGGACTCAGGCTCGAAGCCGCGGACGGCCGCCGCCGCCGCTGCCGCGGGCGTCGCCGCCTGCGCTTGGACGCCTTCACAGCTCTTTGCTCGCCTGCCTCGCCTCGCCCGCTCTCTCTCCACCAACCGGGCCTACCAGCTCGAGCAGACCAAATACCTCCGACGGTGCTATTGTACGCTGTGCATATTGCTCCAGCATGCGAATACAAACGCTGCTCCGACATGTCCCATAGTTACTACTACATGCATGGGTCGCTGCTCCTCTGGAATGACACCGTGGGAGAGGCTTATCCCAACTACGAGCGGATCTGGCGCATCGAGCCCGACGTCTTCTTCTCCGGGAGCGCAAGCACTCTGATTGAGCTCTCGGCGGGACTACAGGTCGGACGAGCGACGCGCACAGAAGCGCGCACCCACACGCAGACACACCTTACGTTTGCACCCTCTTGCAGGTCGACCTCCTACTGCCTCGCTACACGAGGGAGGACTTCGACCTCCGCCCAGTGCGTCTGATGTCTTCACGGCGCCGGGTGCATCGCGCAAATGAGACCCAGGGCCTGTATTACCACTGGCTCTCGCACGAGCGGCTGCTGCGAGGCGTGCCGGCTCGCTCGCGGATGCGCTCGCTCGTCTCCATCGGTCGGTACTCGCGCCGCTTTTTCGACATGCTGCTGCGACGCTACTGGAGCACCGGCGTCGCGATGTACGAGGAGATCCTCCTTCCCGTCGCGTGTGCGACCGCAGGGGCAGCGCAGTGCCGCATGGGCTCGTGGTCCCCCGGTTACGGCCTCCCCAGCGTGCCGCTCGCCACGCCGTTCCGCTTCCGTCCAGAGTACGACTGCGAGGAATTTGCGGACGCGCTATCCCGCGACACGCGCAAACTATTCCACCCCGTCAAATCACACGCGTGCCTGGTGGAGTATCTTGACAGGAGAGGGATGTGAAATATCGGTTTCATCTGTGAAGACGTGGGAAGGAGGAACATGTTATATACATGCGCAGTGGAGAAGAAAAGCGATGCGAGAGCCGCACAGTAGAGCTGTCAAACGTTAACTTTGGGCCTAACAGTTGCACTATTGTTGGCTGAAAATCCTCAACGTTGTTCAAGTGTTCTCCCCAGCCCAAGCTGTTACTGTTTGTTACTGTTGTTACTGTTGTTCAGTGGCCAGCAAGCAGAAAATGCCAAAAAACCCGGGTAAAACCCGAAAATACCTGGGTTTTTCCAGGTATTTTCGGGTATTACCCGCACTGGACGCTGGAGATCGTCGTGGGTCACTGCCAGGCCTTCCTTATTGTTGTTCAGCTGGCCTAACGTTAGCTACTGTTGTTGGGGAGCCCCACTGTTGTTCTGTTGTTACTGTTAACACTAGCAACACTGTTCAGCTCTTAACGTTTGACAGCTCTACCGCACAGCACGCGGGGCGACGCGGCACGCGGGGGGTCCTCGCCGGGAACAGGAAGAGAGACACAAATGGGCACCATCAGGAGTGAGGAGAAGCACACACTTCAGGGCCGCGATCGTCGCATCTACTTCCAAACATTAACTTTGACCCATACTCACACATGCAAATATGATACAGATTACAGAATGATATTTGATGTGTGCACTCGTGTGGAGACATCTAGTTTATAGGCCGCGCCTCGCCGCTCGCGTTCCGCTGGTTCCTCGGCCGCCACACAGGCCTGACCACCGACGAGGGCGCGTGGCGCGCCGTCGCGTGCGCGCGGCCGGTTGCGCTTAAGCAGTGCCTCCGCTTGCTGACGAATCGATAAAGTAGTCTTAATCAACTAGCACGCGCCAGTTCGCACCTGTGTCGAGCCTGTCTGCTGTGAGAGAGAGTTGTTTTGTTTAAAGTCTTATAATCAACCAATTGATACAGGTTGCGCTGAAGCAGAGAGTGCCTCGCGGCCTGCCCAAGCCCTTGTGGCACGAGGTGATGGAGCTGTGCGGCGGCGAGTGCGCCACGCTGAGCCGGCTCGAGACTCCTTCTGGCGCGATGACCTGCCGTGAACGGCGCACCTCTTCACGCGTGGCAGTAACAACATGACAACATGCACATGCACAACATGCGCATGTGCATGGCCATGTTGTTGTGCATGTCACATGTACATGTTCACCCGAGTCGACGGCAGTAGACGGCAGCAATATCTGCCTCGTGTGCGATGGTTGCCCTCACACTGATCTCGCCCTCTTAGTCTGCCTAGAGGTCAAGCGGCGTCACCACAAGCAGGCGCCGGGTCATTGACGTCGCCGAGAGTGTATTGTGTTTTGTGTCTGAGGTCTCGCTGATGGTGATGTGAACCGAATATCTCCCGGGCAGGCGCATATAAGATAACGAAAAAACAAGCGGGCTCTCCACACCAATCACTCTCGCGTCGCCAATCTCACTCTCTCGTCGCCAATCACCCTCTCTAGAGTCCGATGTATGCATACGGTGTGAGCTAATAGCCGCCCGCGCCCCGCCCGCCCCGCCCGCCCCGTCCACGCCCACCCCGCCCACCGCGCCCACCGCGCCCACCGCGCCCGCCTCGCCCGCCGACCGCCGCCGTGGCGCCCGCGGCCTGAGCCTGGGGCGCGGTGCGCGAGGGCAGCTGGTGGACAAACGTCGTCTGCGCCGCCACCAGCCGCCCAGTTGCGGCGATGGGCAGCGCCGGCTGGCGGCAGGCCGGGCAGTTGCTGTCGCGCTCCAGCACGCGCGGCGCACACGTCTCGCAGTACAGCGCGTGGCCGCACGCGAAGCGGACCGAGCGCGGCGCGTCCCAGCAGAGGTCACACAGGCGCTCCTCGGCCCCAGCCGTCTCCTCCACCTCCCCCGCCGCTTCGACTAGCGCCTCCAGCCGCGGCAATGCGTCTGCGAGCGGCATCCGCCTCTTCTTCCTCACGAGAGCCAGCCCGACCACGAGCCTCGCCAGCTC